ACGGCATGCGCAAACACGACCTCCGCCGCCTGGTTCAGGCCTTTGTTCTCAGCCGCTTTGTTTATTCTCTACCGTATCTCTTCCTTTCTTGCACCGAGGAATACAAAGTCAACTGCCTTATTCGTCAGGCGTATAAGTCAGCCCTGTCCCTTCCTACATCTACCTCAACGGATCGGCTACTGTCGATGGGTGTCCACAACTCCCTCACGGAGCTGACGGAGGTCCATCGCACGGCCCAGCTCCTCCTTCTCTCTCGCCCACGGCCAGGTCGTGCACTTCTCTCCACCCTTAAACTCTCCCCTCTCTTGCCTCTTCCCATCTCACTGCCCATCCCTTCCCACGTCTCTTCCCGTCAAGCCATCGATCCCCTTCCAAAGAATATGCATCCCAAACACCACCCCTCCTGTAGAGCAGCGCGAGCCTCCGCGCTCTGGCGTAAGTTCAGACGGCAACCCGACGTGGCTTATGTGAATGCCGCCCCGTATCGCCAATACGCAGCCCACGCCCTCGCAGTCACCGAGAACTCCCTCCGACCCATCATTACCGCCTCCGTCTGCACTTCCACCTCAGTTGAGGCTGAAGAGACACCTATTACCCTCGCCATTACACAAATCTCAGCAGAATACGTTTTTTCCGACTCTAAACCCGTGGTATGCAACTACGCGGTAGGACCGGTGGCACCCCCAGCCGCACGCATCCTGTAGTCTAGCACCATTTCCACTCGCCCCATTGATATCATCTGGATACCCGCTCACGCGGATCATCCAGGCAACGAGGCGGCCAATTCTATCGCTCGCGATTCGACCGACCGAGCAAGCCCGCCACCGCCCGGGATGAATACGCGAGACGCGACGTGCCATGGCATCACATTGCACTACCGCCTCTCCCGCCTCACCTTCCCCCCCACCACACCAATCCCTTTCCTAGCACCAACAACACCTGTGGCGCCAACTTCAGGCCCGCACCTTCCTTACTCCTGCACGTCTTGCCCTCTTCCACCCCGGAATGTACTCGCCGGCCTACCGCTTATGTGGCAGCTCAATCAACAACTATGAGAACATAATTTACTCCTGTCCGGCACACTTGCCCCTGCCTCTTGGCACCTCATAAGTCCGCAGCAGTGGGAGGCTGCTTTGTCCAGCACCAGGCCGGACCTGCAACTTCGACTGGTGATTTGGGTGGAGGATGTCGCGGCTAGGCACTGCCTGGACGCTCCAACCAGCAGCCTGAAGGCCGCCCACAAAGCTGCTTTTTAATTTTTTAAATGTTACTTTACTTTTTGGCCTTCTGACGAATAAAGTTTTTCACCACCACCCTGTGTGCGTGAGTATTCTTAAAAGCGGTTAACGATTTTGAGTACTTGGCACTCTACTGTAGGAGAGCATAAAACCGTCCCTTTCCCTGTGTTTAGTGAAATTTATTCTCATGAACAGTGAACATTAATTACAATCCAACATAACATCGTGACGGAACACAACATCTACAGACACACCAAACCTGTGTTTAGAATAAAGGGGTAACGATTTAGAGTACTTGGTACTCTACTATGGGAGAGCATAAAGCCGTCCCGTGGGCCTCACACTTGACAACCTACATACCGTACCCTCACTGTCTACTTGCACTCGGTCACGTACGTGTCACGTCAAGTACATGCTTCAATAAACAGCCGGAAAGGCTGCTCTGCTCAAGCGAATGACAATGCAATCAATTAAATTATGAACATTGGCAATGTTTGAATCGACAGCAAAATTAATATAAAGTGATTTGTCTTCGGCCTCGACTCTTTAAGCAAATGCTCGCGATGAACACTTGTTATGTAAAATATAAAGAAACATGTTTATTCAAGTTTGGCCTAAAGCTAAAGTGAATGAAATCGCGCGAGTGAAATGGACGTGAGTGGAATTTCAATCAGTGAGGTTTATTTGTGCCGTGCGGTTATTAGTGGTTTTTCTCGAAGCCTTTATGGCAAAATTTCGTTATCGTTGTCGGTGCTGACAACGGTGACGTATTGGCCGTGAGGGCCTCCACTAGAGAGGCCAGCGCTGCGATCGTTTTGACGTCACAGATAGGATGCGTGCGCTCGCCTTGCTGCGTAGTAATTGTGGAATACGGTAGCTTTAATTTCGCAACACCACTTGCATCGTAATGGCTGCATCGTTTCTTAGTCGCGATTTTACGATGCAAATTAGACCCGAGAGTGCCACTGGGGAAACCGATTCGTAGTTTGCTTGCCCGTATCGTCAGGTTTTACCGCTTCGTAAAGCGCTGAGATTCAAAACAAAGGGAAGCACGCACGGTGTCCGCAGCAAAAGCGCCGAAAATGTGGTGTTCTAGCAGACAACACAACCCGGCATCCTATTAGCGACTTCATCGTGTAGGTGGCGCCATGGTATGTCCTCGAGCACGGCCGCCTGAATCGGATCCAGGAGGCCGTGCATCCAGGCCAATACAAAACGCAGGTACAGCCAGGAGGTGCGGGTGCAGCCTACGTCAAAAATTTAGAGACCACTGCGTCTGAGAAATAATCGAATTTCTCGGCGATTTCTGTCTGCATTCGGTCGTAGCGCACACTACATGTTCTTCGCGCGTTGTAGCGAAAAAGAAAAAAATCACGACAGCGCACTGAAACAACAACATTCAGATTTTAACAGCGGAGCTGTACGAGCTCGTGCTTGAATACACTCAACATTTAGTGCAACAAAAATTATTTTATGATACGTGCGTTGATATGCTTGTTTTATTGTGATACATTTGAATAAAAATAAGTAAAATCATATTTATTTATTCCTAAATCATTCATGCTTTGTTTTCTTATAAACAATGAGATCTCAGGCTAGCTATACACTTCCACTTATTTTTTGGTTACGTTCATTTTGAGAGAGAAAGGGAGAAAAATGTTTATTGGGTGGTCAAGAGAGAGAGAGAGAGAAATAAATAAAAGGAAGGGACAGAGAGGTAAACCTAGACGAACTGGTTTGCTACCCTGTACGGGGTGGGGAAAATGGTCGGAAAGAGGGTAGAAATAGAGAGATAAAAAATAAATTAGAAAAAAAAACACAAAACACACACACACATGCGCACACATTCAGGGAGTTCCGATCACAGTCGTTTGGACAGGCCGGTCGAACGCAAGAAGCGCAGGAGCGCCTTCACAGCCTTCTTCTGCGACATAAAATCCTGTCGGCAGCGCAGGATTCTTTCTTCCGAAAGAGGCTGGTTGTCCAGTTCATCAAGTGCATTGCAGAGTGACTGTCTCTACGAGCAGTATTGTGGGCATTCACACAGAATGTGCCAAGTTGTTTCATCACTGCCACAATGGTCGCATGCAGCAGTGTCTGCCATTCCTATGCGGAACGCGAACGCATTGGTAAATGCGACGCCCAACCATAATCTGCACTCAAAGAGTCAATGTTGCAGTAGCAGAGTGCGGGCAGATGTAGTCATATGACGTTGGTTTGAGGTGATGCATTAGAACGCCATGCGTAAATGTATTGCTTTGAAGCCGCCTGTAGTCCGTGCCTTCATCTCTGGAAAGTTTGGGATGCGGGGGAGGGTAGAACCTGCGTTGTAGTCGATGGTGTTGCAGCAGCTCGTGATAGACTGCAGGCACCGCTTCGATTTCTTCCGTTGGTGTCCTGGTGTGGGAGGTGTCTCGAATTTCGTGTTGGGAAGCCCGGTTGATGCATTCGTGGGCCATGGCATGTGCTGCTTCATTCCCCTCGTGACCCGGAACCCAGATAATGCAGGTGTGTGGGGGAAGGGTGTCGACGCGTTTCAGAAACTTTATCGCTCTGGTGGAAATCCTTCCTTTCACATAGTTGCGTGCCGCTGTTTGGGAGTCGGTGAAGACCACTATGGGATCCTCGCTCGTTTGGGTGGCCAGTGATACGGCGGCCTCTTCAGCTGTATCCACGTGATTGGCCCGGATAGTCGCTATCGCTATAGTGCCACCCCCTTGTGGTCTGTGACGCAAATCGCGAAGGCGCTACGTCCCGGATACTTGGCAGCGTCCACGTATCGTGCCTGCGGGTCATTGCGGTGGTTGTTCAGGACGTTCTTTACCCTGGCAAGTCGCCTTCATCGATGATGTTCAGGATGCATGCCGCGAGGGATGCGCTGAACTTCCAGGCATTCGTGGATCTGCGACGGTATCTTGTACTCCTATTCGTCGTCGGGTTCTAGGGTGGTTGTGTCTCCTGTGCGTCGGAGTACTGCTCGTGCAGTGCGTGATCGAGAGTTTGAGCCTCTCGACCTGGCTGAATGAGGTGTGCTTCGGCGAGCTCTTCCCATGTGTTGAGAACACCCATTCGAAGCAATCGGTCCGTTGAAGGATTTGGTGGCAGTCCTAGGGCAAGCTTCATGGCTTTCCGTATAAGTAAATTCAGTTTTTGTTTCTCCGCTGTCTTCAGAGTCAGCTAAGAATTTTTGTATGTTATGCGACAGTATAAAAGAGCTTGCACCATTCGCAAGGTGTCACCTTCCTTGAAGCCACTGTGGCGGTTGGCCACCCGTTGGATGAGGTGAGTGAGCTGTGCGACTGTGTTCTGAAGCCGAGGTGGGGTAGCGAGCCGGACCCGTCCTTATGTACATGGAGCACAAGCACTCGAAGCGAGACAACTTGCGGCATTTGGATGCCACAGAGAAGGATTTGTGGGCTCGGTGCATCGTAACATGGTGGTCTAATAACTTTTGACGTGACTCACAAAAAGTGGCACGTCAAGACACTCGCCGGAAATGGCAGTGACTTCAGGAAAATGACCATATCAAACAGTACCAAAATATCAAATTGAATGAAAACGCGTTCAATATGTGGCTGGTTCAGTTAATTTGAACTTCAGTATATTTTGCTTTTTCTTTACCACCAGTCAACACAACTAGCAAAAAAAAAAACAAGTCGCGTACAGAAACATGTACAATTTGTGAAAGTGTTTCAAGTGTAGAAATGTAGAAGTCATTTTGTTTTGTTTTGTTTGTTTTTTGTTGTTGTTAAGTAGTCTCACCAGCCAACGCCTCCGCCATTGTGAAGAGCCACCCACGTCGCTCCCCTGAGAGCATCTCCGACAAAGTTTTGCACGGCCATATCTGAAAAAAAAAAAGATTACCAAAACGAAGCAACGTGACAAGTTTGTGGGAATGTATGGCGTGTTTTCCCATTGAAATAGAAGTGTTTGGATGTTGCTAGAATTTCAGTCGCATGTTTTACATGGTTCTCATCAGCCTTATAATTTGATAATTTAAATGTAATACAGGAAGACTGCTTCCGAATGTTCTATTGAAATGGAAGTCTTGATACTTAAACTTTTTAACTTCGGTGACGTCATGCAGGTGGCTGCTTCAACCGATGGTATCGAGCACTACAAGTCAAAGGTAAGAGCAAATAAGGTCCTTAGTGCACGGCATGGTTAGGTATGTAGATATGGTAAATTTGAAATAGTGTTCCATTCTTCACAGGGAGAATGGCTGTCCTCCTTACTGTGTATAGAATCGCAGATAACAAGAAACTCTCTTATCTAGCTTCATAAGTTTCGTTCAGGTGTAGCTATAGTTAGAAGCAGCATCAACATAGCCAAGCCAAACAAGGTCGTGGTAGCCACGGAAGTGATCCCGCGTTTTGATACTAGAGTGTTTGTTTTCTTTCTTTTTTTTCGAGCGTGATGCACCAACCTGCAGTGAATGCTGATCCGTCGTAGACGTTTGACGTCTCCCTGTACGGGCTGTCGGCGCCGCTCACGTCGTGGTGGTCGCGGCTGATCACCACCGGGCCCTGTCGGGGAGCAAGAAAACGGGGGGAAAAAACCTACAAATCCAGTGCTTAATTTAGTATTACTACTGCTCTAATCCAGCGCCAACGCTGTGGTTGATGTACTGCCAATGTAGTTCTTATGGAGGTCTTAGTGTAGTTTCAAATGTCGTGGTACATGTTGCGCTGACGGTAGTTCTTGTGAGTGACTTTTGGTGTCCCTAAATCATGCGCTTAGTGCAGCTGCCGTAAAACACGAGAAAGTGCGCAGCACGGGGAACTCGGCGACTACGCCGGCAATGGCACGTTTGCCACCTCTTGGGCAATCGCGTGCTTGCCGAGCCAGTGGCGCCCTCTCTTTCGCATCGCAGTTATCAGCGGGATGCTTCTTTGGCCCACGGGATGGTGAGTGCGCGGCGTGTTTGCCCGCCATCTCGGAGGCCGTGACGTTTCAGGAGAGTTTTCCGCGATTCCAGGTAAATTATAGCTAATGATACTTAGTTATTTATGTACTATATATTTTTTTCGACCTTTTTTAGTTTACTTTGCACTGGTTTTGAGCGTTGTAAGATTGTCTCAAGGCTTGTATTGACCACTGTTCGTCCGCGTAATATGAAACTATAGACAAGCCGAGTCCCCGACCTGTTAAGGCCTGATCACAACGGCTGACGAGCCCTCTCCCATACGGAAAGAGAGGGCGCGTGGCTTCGCGTTGCCAAGCGCCCACTGAGACTCTCTTCACGGGCGCGGCGCCAAAGCCACACGCAGACGCAGTGCAACAGCTATGTGTGGTCTGGCCTTTAGGGCCGTTCCATGCGCTAGCTGCACTGCCGCAACGCACGTGCCGGCCTACCTGCCGCACCCAAGTGGATAGTGAAATAGCGTTGCCAATCGGCTTGTTTGTCCCCGCTTGCGTGCGGCAGAGGTCACGGCACGTGCGTTGCGGCAGTGCGGGAAGCGCGTGGAACGGCCCTTAACCCCTTGGCTTCCGCACTCTCCGCGGCCGGTCCCGCCTGGTATTCCGCAAAATAATTTTCGCGCCCAGAGGCAATATGAGTTGGTGAATATAAATCGCAATAAAACCCACAAAAAACGTCCTAGAATAACAAATCGTGTTTTATGCTGTTAGCAATGCTTTACTGCAATGACTGTTCCCGTACGATTTTCGGCTGTGAAAAGCATTTAAGAACACAGGCATTTGAAGAGCTACTTGGTATTTTTCGAACTATGAATGGCTGTCGGACTTTTTACCGTGTGCCTTGGAAATGAACCCCATCCTTCATAAATCATTCTTTAAGTTGTTTGGAGGATATGACGAGGAAAATGAACACACACACACACACACACACACACACACACACACACACACACACACACACACACACACACACACGCACGCACACACACACGCACGCACGCACGCACGCACACACACACACACACACACACACACACACACACACACACACACACACACACACACACACAAATAGTTCGAACAACGGAAAACTACGTCCATCTAGCGGAGAACATATCCAGCAAACAGCGAACATCAAATAATGAGCTGCGATTTATGAAAAATTTCGTATCCCGGCTGCGGTGGCTGCATTTCCGATGGAAGCGGAAATGTTGTAGGCCCGTGTGATCGGATTTGAGTGCACGTTAAAGAACCCCAGGTGGTCGAAATTCGCGGAGCCCTCCACTACGGCGTCCCTCATAATCATGTGGTGGTTTTGGGACGTTAAACCCCGCATATCAATCAATTTATGAAAAATTGTCAAGAAGCAATCATTTTCTAAGGAGGCGGTGATTCACCGGTAAAAGCGCTTTTCGTCTCGTCATCACGGCCAGCCGATCACCGACTGCGGACGCTAATGGGCTATAGGCCAGACCACACACACCCGTTGCAGCGCGTCGGCGCGGGGCTTTTTTGACGCGTCGCCGTGCCCTCTCCCTATGGAGAGAGTGGGCGCGCAACTTCGTGTATCCACGCACCCTCTCTCCATGGATAGAGACGATGCATGGCTATCGCAATCACGTTGATCGCGATGCCGCGTCGCGGCGTCGCGTCAAGGAAGCCATGCGCTGATGCACTGCAATGGGTACATGGACTCAGGCTTTATAGCACTTTAGAAAACACGAATTTATGGCTGTGCCTTAGAAAGAAAAAAAATGAGGGTTTGTAAGCGCGCAAAATAAAAATGGCTAGCAGTCGTCGAAGTTAATGCGAAAGCGTGTGGAACCTTTTGACGAATCGCATCTGTGCGCATCGCGGCGGCCTGGCGCTCCGTTTCGTCCATTCATGGCAGCGCCTGCGCGCCCCGCTGCGAACCGGTGCGATTTGTCGAAGATGCTATTAGAAGAACGCGATACTGATGTGTAAAGATGCGCTGCATAGGTGCACAACGATGAGTGGCGCAAGAAATACAAAGTGGACAAAGACCTCGCGCAGAACACTTGCGGCGCAGGTTCGCGTCGGCGGTCGTGTCATTTTTTTCTGAAGATTGCTTTTTTACTGTGCGATAAAACGATGTTCACTCCGTGAACATCGTTTGTGAACATCATGTAACGATAAAACGTTACACTCCGTGCATATGCAGTAAGACTCGTGAGTAATTTAAATGGTGAGCTTTACACACTGTGCAGAAAGAAAGAAAGAAATAAAGAAAGAAAGAAAGAAAGAAAGAAAATATATTACGAATAAAAAGATCAATGCATTCCACTCAAGAGTCTCCTTAGTTCGCTTATGGTTATTCAAATGAAAGTACATCAACGTTCCTTGATGAATGCACATTTCATTGTTTCAATTACTTTACCTATTTCTCTCTTCGCACTCGAGAGCTTTTGATACCGATTTTTCTACTTTCCTGTCGTCACTTTCTGCATCTTCTGTTGTTTATGCTCGGACACCTACTTTGAGGCTAATACCCATCATAACAGAATATTGGTCAGTAATCTTGTATGAGCAAGTGTGGCCGCAATCAAAGGCTACTGTATCGATCAGAGAAAAATACCCTATAAGCGCTCGCGGTGTCCCATCCTTTCACCTGTTCGCGTTTTTTCGCGCTATACAGTGACGTTTTTTGTACGTGTAAACCAACTCGCCCGAGAAGAAGCGTTACTCGCGTTTCGTCGAGCGCAAAGTTACACTTGACAATGGAAGTCAACGCTAGGCGTTGAGCGTGCACGTACCTTGAGTCGTCCATCCCTCACGGCGCGATTGAAAGCGAGGGCGATCTGCGTCCTGCCCGTCTTGTCCGAGTACAGGATCCGGGCCTGGGAGCCTACAACCTGCGAAAGCACCCAGCCGTTGCGGACAATGCTCGTATTTTATGCAACACAGTTCGAAATAACCTGAAGTGGTAGTTTTCCGTTTCCTTAAATATCTAACCAAAAACTGCGTGAGAACAGTTCGCATATAAAAATTATCACAGCTGGTTGGAGTGCCAGGTTAGTTGTTTTTGAATTTTAACGAACTGAAGTTATTGCAAACGGTGATGGACACAAAGACGCCTGTCCCTGCCTGCAGACCTGTCATTGTGTGCGTTTTAATTTGCGCCAATTTTAGTTTGTTTAGATTACCACCACTATATGAACAGCACGGCAAGGATATTGACACGGGGGAATGGCAACACCTTTCCCTATTCATTGCCTACTACCATCTTTTCTTCTCACGAAAGCAAACATTGTCGAAACAAAACGCAATAGCTTCCACACTTTTTAGCCTCAGTCCCAACCGTTCTCTTTCGAAGGAACTAATTTGTTGGGAGTGTACGCGCCACCCTCCCAGTAAAAAAAAAAAAAGGATCCTGGCGCTGACACAGACTTAAGAGGCTACAATGAACGCATGTGCGGCGAAAGGACACTCGGGGAAAAAAGCTACATACTTAAACGAGTGGGAGCGGGGTAGCCGGCATTCCATATTTATCAGGTTACGGAATACAGCACACACAGAAGCAGAACAGAGCAGTCAAATTAGTGGCAAGCATGAGTGCATGGTGCGATCTTCAGTGTATCATATTATTTCAGTGTTGCTGTAGTCAACAACAATTAGAAGGCTGTTCTATCGTCTTTGTAGCTAATTTTTCTGTTGTGTACGTTCAGGTGCTGGACCTTTTAAATGTGAGAAAGTGTGTTGACGGGAAAGGATTCATGATGGAAGGTGTCGGTGTATTGTATACACGACAATTCACTCACCAGATTGTGGTCGGCCGCCTTTTCGATCCAGGCGACGTTGTCCCTGTACTGCTGCTTCACGTGCTCTGGCACTGCGGGTTGGGAGTGAATGCATCGAGTGCTTGAATTGGGTATGTCGGTTGCTTGAGTAATGTGGGTGGATTCAAGGAGTAGATAAGGTTCATTGAGTAGGTTACCAACTCGCCGCACTCATCAGTCAGTGAGTTAGTTGATTCGATGTGGAGAGTAAGTGAGGCACCTTTGTAGAGGTGAGCGCAATCGTGTTATTAAGGTGGTTGATTCTTTTGATTGCAGATGGCTGTCTTTAAATATTGATGAAAGAAAAAAAAAGTGCCGCAACTGGATGGAGAGGGAAAAGCACGTGTTTCTTCTTGCTTGGTTAGGTGCTGTTTTTTGTTTTGTTTTTTGTTTTTTGATGCCTCAGTTGCGTAGGCAGGCTTAGTGTGTTGCTTCAATTGGTAGCGTGAGTGAGTTGAATAAGTTGGTTGTTTGGCTTGGTAGCGTGCGTAGCTTGGGTGGTAAAGCAAGTGGAGCAGTTAGTGTCTGTGAACGCAACAACTATATAGACTCAAAATGTCAGCATTGAAAAACTAGACCTGACTGAGTATAACCAAAATAAAAGAGGAGCTTTTCATTTGTTTTTTTTTTCTTTTTTATCAAACGTGAAAGTTTGCGGACACTAGGGACCCTAAAATAGCTTAGGCTTGTGTCTTTTTCAGTTCCATGTAGCAGTGCATACAGAGAGAAAAAAAATAACTCACGATTAAAGAAATATAGCCTTAGGCAAATTTGGACCGTATATAATTGATAGTGGTGCATTTTTAACGATATCGAATTGCAAGTATCGCCTTCCAGTACACTTGACCATGCGGCGTGGTTTGAGTTCTACATATTGCGTTACAGAAAGCTATTGTTATAATTAAACTTTTTACTCGGACTCATCACGTACCGTTCGTCTTGACAAGGTCCTTCAGCACAGAAGCGGCCAGTTTATCTGTCAGCGCCAAATCGTCCTTTGATCCGGACAGGCAAACCCATCTGAAATATTTTTTTTTTTCATTTTTATATAGAATTGGGACGTATACTGTACACGCACCGTGCTTTTCCTTAATAATAATAATAATAATAATAATAATAATAATAATAATAATAATAATAATAATAATAATAATAATAATAATAATAATAATAATGACACCTACGACCAGTGAGTTTCCTACTTCCCATGCACTGCGAATACGACCGAGTATTGTTAATGTGTTTAGAAAAAGCGGTTAAAAATTTAGAGTACTGGGTACTATACTATGGGAAGACTCAAAGTCGTCCCGTGAGCCTCACGCTTGATGATGAGGTCCCATTGAATGCTGTAAAGCGACTTATGTGGTTAGAAAATGTGGTTAACGATTGAGAGCCCTTAGTAGGACATTATGGGAGAGCATATAGACGTCCCGTGGGCCTGTACTCAGTTGAGAATGATCATTGTGTTACTGTACTGTTTACAGACACATGCCCTTGATGACATCCGCTTAGTGGTGGTGAAAAAGAGCTCTAAAAATAACCCGCTCATTTCCCACATTTCTCTTTCTCTATTCGGCAAAATATATTCAAATGAATGTTCTTTTGACCTACATAAAAATTATAAGAGATTCTCTTGAACTTTACGCACGTTCCTTTTATTTGACAAGCGGAGAGGTTTTCCTTACTTTTGAAAAGAACTTGATAATGTGCTTACAGTAAATGAGGTGACCGGAAGTTTTTTTTTTTTTTTTGGGGGGTACAACGCTTGGGGGGGGAACATCGAAGCTTGCAGTGAAAAAAAAATCACAGCATATTCACGAGGTGAATTATGACGAGTGGGGCGAAGTGGATGAACGGACGGATTAACGCATGGACCGATGGACTGAAGGACGCACGGACGGACTAACGCACGGAAGCACTGACGGATGCTTCGCCTCACCCATAATCATTTACTCCGTGGATGTGCTGTGGCACCGTATTTATTGACATGCAACGCAGCTGGCTACTACGACTATACGACGAGTATACGACAACACGGCACATACGACCCACGGCGTAAGGGGCTTCGCCCTTAATGGTGCATTCAGACGACGGACCGAATCCGGATTTGTCGTGGACGCGGACGGCTAATCCGCGGATGATCCGCCTGCAGACGCATCCACACGACGGACGGTGACCTAGGAGAAAACAGCCGGATTACCCTCGACAGCAGGTTCGCCGCTCACCTGCGCCTGCTGAAAGCAGACCGGTTTGAGAGTATTCAACATGGATGCCCGCAAAAAGCGACGCTTGACTGCGATGTCTGTCGCGTTGTGATAAATGAACGAGGAGTGTTATTCTGTCAGGAGAAAAGGGTAGTTGCTGGCAGAATGTTCTTTCAACACCAATGTTCTCCACTTGTAGAACTTCTGAACGCGTCTTCCATCCTTTTTTAGAAGCGGCGCGTCGCCGGTTGCAGAAGTTAGAAAATTTCACCATCATGATCAACGTTTATAGATATATTTCAGTTTCGAAACTCCGCCGCCGAAGCCGGGCGCGTCTTACTCCTAGGGGGTGTGAGGGCGCTGCGGTCGACTTTTGCGCGGTGCCGACGGGCCGGCCAACGTTTATCTATAAACGTTGGGGCCGGCCGGTGCAGGCCTGCGTTTCAGTGTGCCAGTGGCCATGGTTTTCTGGGTCGTGCTGTGGGGTTGCTCGTTGTTTTCTTCTCGTTTTGTGGTTGTGAACTGTGTATGTGCTGTTAGTGAGTGACTGCCGATAGATCTGCTCGTTGTTTTCTTCTCGTTTTGAGGTTGTGAACTGTGTATGTGCTGTTAGTGAGTGACTGCCGATAGATTTGCTCGTTGTTTTCTTCTTGTTTTGAGGTTGTGAACTGTGTTTGTGCTGTGAGTAAGCAACTGCCGATGATAGATTTGCTCGCTGTTACGAACAGTCAGCAAAGTCGCCGGCGTTCAAGGCCAGCCGCTCTCCCCCACGAAGTGCTGTCCGATTCCTCGCCGTGTCCCAGGCTTCACATGTGAAATGCCATAACATTCAGCCAACATGCCGACGTGTTTTGTGCCTGGCTGCACAAGCGGATATAGGAGTAACCCCGACAAGCGGCACTTTTTTGCCCCACCGTCGGACCCCGAGCTTCTTGACAGGTGGCGAAGGGCTATTCCCCGCGCTGATAAGTTGCTCAGCAAAACACGCAAGGTATGCGACGTTCACTTTCAGCCGGCAGACATGACGAAAACATAAGCATATCATCAATGGTGAAGTGGTGGAGGTTGAGCGGGGTGCATGGGCTCTGAAAAGTGGTGTCGTTCCGACGCAATTCCCGAACTTACCCAGCTATCTGTCTTCTACACTGAAGAGGCGGCGGTCGCCGAAAAAGAGAGCAAGTGCTTGTCGGCGTGCAGAGACTGTGTCTTGCCACCCACCTCCCGAAGAGCCAAATGAGCTTCCGAGTAATTGCGAGAGCACTGATCTCTCGTACATTATCGAGAACAGTGCTTCACTGCGGCTACCTCGGAATTGGCAGTTGCCAATTGTGGAGGATGAGCCAGAAAACAGCCGGCAAGCAGTTTCATACGAGACATGGATGAGCGCAGGTGTTTTCTCTATCATGAAGAGCGTTGTGATATGAGAAGATCTTACGTACGTTATTTCAGCGAACGGAAAACTGCTGCAAGAGTCGCTTGTTGACGTGCGGGTACGCTCCCAGAAAGACGTTGAAGCAATAGTGCAAATTGTGCACAGTATGAAATTCTGCCTTGGGTGCACCCGCACTGAGGTCAGCGGTTCCGGAAAATCTGCAGAAGGAAGTGAAGCTGTGCACCACAAAGACTGTACAGTTTTGACAAATGCTGACAAAGGAATGTGTGCCATGTGTGTTGGCACACATTGAGGGAGAAAGAAGGCAAAACTTGTTTGAAATTGCACAGTTGTTTTCTGAAGTGTGTAAATAAAGAAGATTGCATTTTGAATTTTATCACTTGATTGTCTCGTGTTCTTCACCTTAGTTGCATGCATGCGTGATTTTTTTGTCTAATGTGGGAAACTGGCAGTAAAAATACCAGCGAGAAATATATGCAAAGCATGAAAATACTAGTGAGGACGAGGCATACTAGTGAGGACGAGGCCCTCGTTTGGGCATACCCGGCCCAAACGAGGGCCGGGTATGCAGGGCGCAGTTAAAGCATAAGCTTGTGGCCTCGAATGTTCCGAATGCGTAGAAAATAATACAGCGGTGCGTTGCGACACGCATTAAGAACATCACACACCAGAGTGGAGCGCTTAAGATTTAAAAGCTGCAACGTGCGTAATAAAATCAGACGGCTTGCTAAGCCCGCTGCGCAAGCGCAACGTTGGAGCTAGCAGACGACGCTCGCAACGATAGCGCAATTCTCGACTGCAGCGCCGCGGTGTCAGGAACCGCAGCGGGCCGGCTGCGTTCAATGGCCGCGGCGGCGAGTTTCTAAACTGAAATATATATTTATAAACGTTGATCATGACGGCTAAGAATCTCGCGTGTCAAACGACGGCGGCAACATTTCCCGAACCACCAAAAATAACTTCCGCGTATTTAATCACCTGAGAACAAAGCCCCCGGAAACTAAGTAAACCATGCTCAAGCGTAGATAATGCCGACCAGTCATGCAGCTGTCCGCGAGCCATGGAGGACATGCCGCGAGCAGACGAAAACTGTACTGGTTGCCACCGACCCCAAGCTATTCCGCTGAAGTACCGGCTCTCCCCCGCCAGAATCCCGATGTGAGAAACAGGTTGGGTTCATCCGTCCGCGAGCCGCGCGGACGAGTCGCGGACGAGGGGAATCGCTGATGTGAGGTCACGTGACGCGCCGTCCGCCCCGCCACATCGGGATTCGGTCCGTCGTCTGAATGCACCATAAGAATCCGTCAAAATGGGTTGTGTAGAGCCGACGTCTCAACAAGCGGACTTGTCTTCCTCAGGGTTAAAACACAACTTTCTTAGAACATAACAGTTCTGTGCTAGGGATTGTCGTGTAACGTAACACTTTCCCGTCCGTGTGAAACGAACTTGTGTCACGGTATGAGACACATTTGGCGCCTCCCCTTAATGACAAAGAAGGCTGAGGTCGGCCGCCCTCCTGCTCCCCGCGACACCCCCTCCCCCCCCCCCCCCCCCCGCCTCTGTTACTCGCCCACATGGTTAACACTGCCGCACTTGAGTGCCCCTGCGTTTTTACCGTGCGCTTTTGCAGCGATACGCATTTGTTTCATAATTTATACTCTTTTTTTACAAAGGAAATTAAGGCGTTTTAAAGAAAAAAAGAAACCATTATTATATATATCTAGACCAAACTACTCATATACCTCTGTTACCTTGTATGTTTTTCGTTTTATATGTCGTTTTCTTCCTATTATAATCTGCCTTCATGAACGTTCTCTGTTGGCTCGAGAGTTCTTTGCTGGCACATTGGGCATCAGTTTAAAAAATAGGTACGCTACATTCCCGCTAAAGTAACTTCTATTACTCTCTTTTCTTGTATCGTGCTGAAAAGTGTGACGAATTTAGTCGGAAGCGTCTTGATAAGCTGAAAAGCTGGACAGAGCATCGCGACATGCTCCTGGTACCGCGAAGACAGCTGTTGCTCGTCCCTCTCTTTTTTTTTTCCTATGAGCCCGCTTCAACAACTCGAAAAAAACACAACATGAATATTTTGTGCTGCGACCAGCGTGACAGATGAGGCGAAAGAAAATAGACACATTGCGAATCTTTCGATAGATTTACAATCCCACGATAGCATACCTGAAGGGTCCGAAGCCGAGCGAAAAGATGTCACTGCAAAAAATGGTAATAAATAAATAAAGTAAATAAAAACGAAATAAGGGTTCACTCAAGTACACCACTATGCGGTATTCAAGACTCTACATACATGCAGCACGCAGCAACATCCAAAATCTCTCACCCCATGATATCCTGCACGTAGGAAGGGTAGCGAAACCTGATTCCATTGTGACCGACGTCAGCGCCTGCAAACACGCAAAAAGAAAGTTTGCAAGCA